CCTCTGCCATTCCTCCTTGCAGATCCTCTCCAGTTCTGTCAGGTTGGATGGTAAACGTTGGTGGACAGCCATTTTCAGGTCTCTCCAGAGATGCTCAATTGGGTTTAAGTCAGGGCTCTGGCTGGGCCATTCAAGAACAGCCACGGAGTTGTTGTGAAGCCACTCCTTCGTTATTTTAGCGGTGTGCTTAGGGTCATTGTCTTGTTGGAAGGTAAACCTTCAGCCCAGTCTGAGGTCCAGAGCACTCTGGAAAAGGTTTTCGTCCAGGATATCCCTGTACTTGGCCGCATTCATCTTTCCCTCGATTGCAACCAGTCGTCCTGTCCCTGCAGCTGAAAAACACCCCCACAGCATGATGCTGCCACCACCATGCTTCACTGTTGAGACTGTATTGGACAGGTGATGAACAGTGCCTGGTGTTCTCCACACATACCGCTTAGAATTAAGGCCAAAAAGTTCTATCTTGGTCTCATCAGACCAGAGGATCTTATTTATCACCATCTTGGAGTCCTTCAGGTGTTTTTTAGCAAACTCCATGCGGGCTTTCATGTGTCTTGCACTGAGGAGAGGCTTCCGTCAGGTCACTCTGCCATAAAGCCCCGACTGGTGGATTGCTGCAGTGATGGTTGACTTACTACAACTTTCTCCCATCTCCCGACTGCATCTCTGGAGCTCAGCCACAGTGACCTTTGGGTTCTTCTTTACCTCTCTCACCAAGGCTCTTCTCCCCCGATAGCTCGGTTTGGCCGGACGGCCAGCTCTAGGAAGGGTTCTGGTCGTCCCAAACGTCTTCCATTTGAGGATTATGGAGGCCACTGTGCTCTTAGGAACCTTAAGTGCAGCAGAAATTTTTTTGTAACCTTGGCCAGATCTGTGCCTTGCCACAATTCTGTCTCTGAGCTCTTCAGGCAGTTCCTTTGACCTCATGATTCTCATTTGCTCTGACATGCACTGTGAGCTGTAAGGTCTTATATAGACAGGTGTGTGGCTTTCCTAATCAAGTCCAATCAGTATAATCAAACACAGCTGGACTCAAATGAAGGCGTAGAACCATCTCAAGGATGATCAGAAGAAATAGACAGTACCTGAGTTAAATATGAGTGTCACGGCAAAGGGTCTGAATACTTATGACCATGTGATATTTCAGTTTTTCTTTTTTAATACATTTGCAAAAATTTCTACATTTCTGTTTTTTTTCTGTCAAGATGGCGTGCTGAGTGTACATTACTGAGAAATAAAATGAACTTTTTTGATTTTTGGAAAATGGCTGCAATGAAACAAAGAGTGACAAATTTAAAGGGGTCTGAATACTTTCCGTACCCACTGTATGTATGTGTTGATTGAAAAACATTGCCAACGGTCTTATACGTGTAAATGAAACAAATTTTGAATTTAAATCCTCTTAACTTGAAACAGAAAGTATTATATTATAAATGTTTGTCATTTTTACATTATATCACAGGTGTATCACATTATATATACACATTATAAATGTGGTTAAGTTGTTTTAACTTGAGTTAACTTAAGGGAAGTTTTCTTGCTTTGATTTGATAATAATTATTTGTTTTAACTCAAAGTATGAAGTTGAAACAAGTTCTAAAAAAGTTCAATCAACTGAAAAAACAACGCTGTGGACTCACCTGTGGACTCAGCTGAACAGGCAGCCATGACGAGCAGCAGGAGCAGAGAGATGAACCGGTGGAACATTTTCAATCACCAAACTGTGACAGCTGGAGGTGAAAACAACAGGTTCACTCACCTGGTTAATATTCTGCTCACAGCACCTGTTTCTTTCACCGTTACCTCCAGATCACAATGAAGTGTTTTCTTTTTCTCTGTACAATTTTATCATTACATTTATTCATTTAGCTGATGCTTCTATCCAAAGAGACTTACAGCTGCTCTACATGTCAGAGGTCAGAGTCAAACCTCTGGAGCAGCGAGGTGTTAAGTGTCTCGCTCAGGGACACAATGGTGGATGTGTCACAGTGGGGGATTGAACCTGGGTCTCTCACACCAAAGGCATGTGTCTTAATTTTCTTTATGCCTGCTCAGGATTATCAAACTCTCATCTTTATCGATCGATTGAATGTAGCTGATCAAATCATTCATTTAATAAATCTGTGATTACATTCATAAAATACTAATTTAAGCTACTTATTATATTCAGAGTAATTCACTTCATCCCAGTATAGAACCTAATTTTAAAATCATTACAACACAGAATTATCTGAAACTTTAACTTCATTAATCAGACTCTCGGCTGGCACTGAAGGAACGTCCAACATGAAAACAGATAACGTCCCGTCTGATACAGTAATAAAAACCTGGATCCATTTTGTCACTTTGCAAAGTTTGGTAAAAAGCCGAGTATCTGGATTTGTAAAGATCTATTTGGTAATAAACAGAGTTATCTTGTTATTCTTATGGTAGTTGAAATATATATATATATATAGAATATATATTATAAATATATATGTGGTGGACAAAATATCAGAAACACTTCTCAGCAGAACAAGCTGGATCCTCCACGATGATCCTGCAGCTGAATCCACACAAACTGAACACTGCAAGCTGCATGAAGGAGGATTTATTACAGGTCTGTAAAACTAAAAACTGGAATCTGCGTTTAGTCATGTTTAATCTTTACCTTTTCTTTCTTCAGGTGTGCAGACTTCAGTCAGTCTTTCTGGGAAGCGGCAGGTGAACTGCAGCTCTGTCGGTGCTAATTGTTGTTGTAAAGCCATAAATTAAAAGAACTGGGTCAGACAAATAATACTGTGTGGAGAGAAAGAGCTCTTTCACTTCGTTCTGGAGAAACTTCTTTTTTGAAACGCTTTCAGACAACATGAAAATCAACTGTTTTTATTTTTCAGTTCCAGCTGAGATTCAGGAAATATGAAGTTTGTTCCACCAACAGAGATCTGTTCTCTAGAACACCTGCTGCTGGGCTCTGTGATTAGGACAGCTTGGTTTATTGGGAACAAAGGTTTCGGCTCACTGACTCATACAGCGGGACAAAATGGCTCCAAAGGAAAAGAGCATGAGATTATTAAAAACTGAAGGACAGCATTCAATCCTGAGCTGTTTCCTCTGTCTGTCCTGTCAAGGTCAGTGTTTTTGTTTGGCTGCTTAAATCTCCCAAAATATTTCAATTCAATTTTATTTACATAGCCCCAGTTGGACAGTCATCTCAGAGCACTTTCATAAAATATTTGCTTTGCATTACTGCGCATGTAAACGTTTAAAATGACTGACAGCTCTCATCATAGGAAAGTCTGATTATTAGGCTGTAGTGAGTTTGTTTCACTGCACACAGCTTTGATTAAAGTCTTTTTTTCATTATAGATCATTAGCTTGTGTGACCGTATTAAATAAAACGTTGGTTGGTGTGAATTACCGTAAATAAACTCTATTTAAAGAAAAAACAATGTGGACCTCAGTAATGTTCTAAACCCTGGTCGGGGTCCTGGCCCTGGGTACCCTTAAGTTAGCAAGAATAAATATGCAACGTCTGGTTAGACTTTCAAAATAAAAGTACGTAATAGTTAGTTAATGTTGCAAAACATTTCAATATGTAAAACTGCATATTGTTAACGTTGTAAAACGTTGCAATTTGGTCAAGTTTAGGAAAAGATTGTGGTTTGGGTTAAAATAATTCCGTCACTTATGTCAGTTAACTTAAGTAATTGAAGTAACTTGACCTGCGTAACTTAAATAAAATGTGAATGCTCTGTATTTGTACAGCACCTTTCTAGTCTTTTCGACAACTCAAAGCGCTTTTATACTACCTCACATTCACCATTCACTCACATTCTTTCACTGAGCCTAAGTGCCCAAACATTCACACCATAGACTGTATATAAGAAGTGGACGTAGTCATGGTGACGTCACCCGTTGCTTTGTGGACCGCCCTTTTGAAGCCTCGAGTTTGGCCGATAGGGCGCCGCCATGTCGAGTTTTTGCAACCAGGAAGTGCCCGGAAGTGACGATACGGCGGAGCTAACGGCCGTGTGTGGAGCTAGCTAGCTTAGCTGGGGGCATCTGTAACTCACATTATCTGTCATTTTAACAGGCTGATAAGTTTGTCTAGCGAACAACAGGCTTAAAACTAAATGTTCTCACCAGAGAAAGTGAACAGCCGACTCCTAATAAGCTTTTTCGACGGCGCTGGTTAAATTTACACAGAGGCGAGGGTTCGAGTCTCTCTAGCCTGATTGACAGGTCACCATGGTAACGACTTGTCAATCATAGATAACCCCGCCCTGAAGCATACTCTGCTTTATGGTCTATTTTAAAATAAATGGGACCATAATTTACTAAATGAATCATTTTATATTGAAGAAGACATGAAACTAGTTGACTTTTTGTTTCTCACGGAAAACGAACACCAGGGTGAAATCCCAGCTTCTGGCCCACCTTCCAGCCCCAACCACCTCCGTACTCTTTTCTAGTAAATATCCTGCCCCTGCCTTTACCGTTGGAAACTGACGCTACAGAGCTCCCAGTGACGCCGGTGGGTCCTGACCATGCGGCCACCGTGTGAGGCTTGGAAGTGGGAACGGGATATAAAATCTGCATGTTTAGTCAGCAGAAAAATCTGAAATAGTTTGATGACTTTGCCCCATAAAAAGGTTTAAAAAGCGTTTTTCCCTGCTGGTTATACTTACTATACTGTAGTATGACGGGTGCATTATGTTTCCCGCCTCGGCTGTTAGAAGCAGACTATTGGCTTCCTAGCAGTAGGGGTGGGATATGTGCACGCAACCGCCATCTTTGGTGTTGAGGATATTTGAGGTGGCGTGTCTCCTGTCTTAAAAGGTCTTTGGGTTAGTGTAGGCTGGAGAGATGTTACTAAACTTAGAGCCGTAACATTCTGAAGGTGTGAAAATGAGTCAGAGGTGGAGGAGGCAGCAAGATCACCTGTTCCTGAATGGAAGTCAAAACAATGCAAAACTTCATGATGGACAAATAAATATGCAAAAATCGAAATGTTAAAGATAAAATTTGCATTTAATGACAGACAGAGAAACAGACATGTTTCAGTTAGTGTGATCTGTAACACGTGACGTGTCGTACAGACGGACAGAACCACCGGAAAGGAACCAGAGTTCAGGTTTCCATCCAGGTGTTCAGCAGCTTCAGCAGAGTCAAACAGAAACAAACCCGCTCCCCAGAACAGAAAAACCCAAATCAGACTTATGAAAACATGAAGCGTGTACAGTGCACCCGCCCGGCGCCGCTACAGGATACATGTCAGATATGCTAATGAAGGAGGTGGATCGACCATTCGGGAGGCTGCTGCCGGGTCACACGGGCATCTGCAGATGTGAGTACTCGTCCTGCCCCTCCTTCTCCTCCAGGTGAGGCTCTGCATCATCAGCATCCAGCTGCAGGACCAGAGGTCAGAGGTCAGTAAACAGTTCTGCAACACACAGTGCTCGTCCACCATTGGCTCACGGTTCGATAACTTTTTTAGGACAAGCTCGATTTGCAAACCTGGAAAAACCGTCAGTGAGATTATCTGCTGTGTTTTTAGGTTAAACGCTACTAGCATAGCATCACATCGCTGACTTTGACACCTCCTGCTGTCACTACATGTTCTTTACATCAGCTGTGAGCCGTGTTAGCAGCGCCCTGTCCTGCACGCCGCGCTAATGGTGACCACTTCATAGTGAACGAGGTGTGACTCACACTCTGCAGCTCCCTCCAGGTGAAGAGGCGGGGCAGCAGCAGCATCCTCACCGGGATGGTCAGAAGCAGCATGAAGGGGAACGCCAGAGCTGCTGCCGTCGCCATGACCACCCACAGGAGAGACAGACAGGTCAGCTGGACGAGAGTGAACAGGTGCATCCTTAACGTCCTCACCTGTGAGAGGGCGGAGTCACAGAGAGACAGGTGAGACGGAAACAGGTACGGTGATGTTCAATAGTCCAAGTCAAGATCAACAAGTCCCAAGTCAAGGGCTCATGAGTCAAGTCCAAATCAAGACCAACAAGTCCCAAGTCAAGTCAAGGACTCATGAGTCAAGTCCAAGTCAAGACCAACAAGTCCCAAGTCAAGGGCTTATGAGTCAAGTCCAAGTCAAGGGCTTATGAGTCAAGTCAAGACCAACAAGTCCCAAGTCAAGTCAAGGACTCATGAGTCAAGTCCAAGTCAAGACCAACAAGTCCCAAGTCAAGACCAACAAGTCCCAAGTCAAGTCAAGGACTCATGAGTCAAGTCCAAGTCAAGACCAACAAGTCCCAAGTCAAGGGCTTATGAGTCAAGTCCAAGTCAAGACCAACAAGTCCCAAGTCAAGTCAAGGACTCATGAGTCAAGTCCAAGTCAAGACCAACAAGTCCCAAGTCAAGTCAAGGACTCATGAGTCAAGTCCAAGTCAAGATCAACAAGTTCCAAGTCAAGTCAAGGACTCATGAGTCAAGTCCAAGTCAAGATCAACAAGTCTCAAGTCAAGTCAAGGACTCATGAGTCAAGTCCAAGTCAAGATCAACAAGTCTCAAGTCAAGTCAAGGACTCATGAGTCAAGTCCAAGTCAAGATCAACAAGTTCCAAGTCAAGTCAAGGACTCATGAGTCAAGTCCAAGTCAAGATCAACAAGTCTCAAGTCAAGTCAAGGACTCATGAGTCAAGTCCAAGTCAAGATCAACAAGTCCCAAGTCAAGATCAACAAGTCCCAAGTCATGTCAAGGACTCATGAATCAAGTCCAAGTCAAGGACTCATGACTCAAGGCCATGTCAAGATCAACAAGTCCCAGGTCAAGTCAAGGACTCATGAGTCCAGTCCAAGTCAAGACCAACAAGTCCCAAGTCAAGGACTCATGAGACAAGTCCAAGTCAAGACCAACAAGTCCCAAGTCAAGTCAAGGACTCATGAGACAAGTCCAAGTCAAGACCAACAAGTCCCAAGTCAAGTCAAGGACTCATGAGTCAAGTCCAAGTCAAGACCAACAAGTCCCAAGTCAAGGACTCATGAGACAAGTCCAAGTCAAGACCAACAAGTCCCAAGTCAAGGACTCATGAGACAAGTCTAAGTCAAGACCAACAAGTCCCAGGTCAAACCAAGGACTCATGAGTCAAGTCCAAGTCAAGATCAACAAGTCCCAAGTCAAGTCAAGGACTCATGAGTCAAGTCCAAGTCAAGATCAACAAGTCCCAGGTCAAGTCAAGGATTCATGAGTCAAGTCCAAGTCAAGATCAACAAGTCTCAAGTCAAGTCAAGGACTCATGAGTCAAGTCCAAGTCAAGATCAACAAGTCTCAAGTCAAGTCAAGGACTCATGAGTCAAGTCCAAGTCAAGATCAACAAGTCTCAAGTCAAGTCAAGGACTCATGAGTCAAGTCCAAGTCAAGATCAACAAGTTCCAAGTCAAGTCAAGGACTCATGAGTCAAGTCCAAGTCAAGATCAACAAGTCTCAAGTCAAGTCAAGGACTCATGAGTCAAGTCCAAGTCAAGATCAACAAGTTCCAAGTCAAGTCAAGGACTCATGAGTCAAGTCCAAGTCAAGATCAACAAGTCTCAAGTCAAGTCAAGGACTCATGAGTCCAGTCCAAGTCAAGACCAACAAGTCCCAAGTCAAGGACTCATGAGACAAGTCCAAGTCAAGACCAACAAGTCCCAAGTCAAGGACTCATGAGACAAGTCCAAGTCAAGACCAACAAGTCCCAGGTCAAGTCAAGGACTCATGAGTCCAGTCCAAGTCAAGACCAACAAGTCCCAAGTCAAGGACTCATGAGACAAGTCCAAGTCAAGACCAACAAGTCCCAGGTCAAGTCAAGGACTCATGAGTCAAGTCCAAGTTAAGACCAACAAGTCCCAGGTCAAGTCAAGAACACATGAGTGACAACCCCAGGTTTGGGCCCTCTCTTGTTCTTTGTATCTTGCTGCGTTTTGTCCCTTTAATCCAGGTAGTTGGTGGGTGGAGTTGATACCTGGTGTGAGATGCAACACACCTGAGCAGGCAGGGCTCAGGTGGTATAAAGGAGCCGGCTTGATTTGACTCCCTCTCTTCTCCTGGCCTGCCGACTGATTCTGTTCTACACCCACACACTCCACTCACACATACACTGCATAAATACTGATCTGACAGATACCTACAATTGTATATTTTGCTTAATTTACTTAATTTTCAGATTGTGTGGTTTCCCGCTTTTGTCACTTGCTGTTGAGCCAGGTTGTGACAAAATGGGGGCTCGACCGTGATCCAAAACCATTTGGTAATGGTGAATCTTGCGTACTGTGACAAAAATGGGGTTTTGTCCATTTTCTATGTCTGGTAAGTTTTCGAATGCAGAGTATAGTGGATAGTGATTTAGTCTCATGTATGAAGAAGGATGAACGAACATTTCTCCTTTGACATTCGTTCATAATATGTTGGTAGTGTTGCAGTGAATGCGGTTAGCGCAATTGTCTCGGGGCACATCCCTGGACTTGAGTGGGTCACTGTTTGTGCAGTTGCCTTTCTCGCTCTGGTGGTATTTAGAGCATAAGTACCCGCTGTAAGTAACTGCATGAACACTAGGGTTGAGGTTAATAAGTTTCTGGTAGGTAGTTAGTGGGAAGGCTCTGATTTTAAATTTTTTGCACACTGGACTTTGTCTTATGGCCACTGTTGCTACCTTTGTTCGGTCTCCATCTGAGCTTTTGTATAGTTGTACAAAAGATGACCTTTTGAAGCTCACTGACTATTATGATGTTGGAGAGAAATGGTTAAAGGAGGAAATTAAAGGAGTGTTGAGGTCTGTTTTAATGGAATAGTTCCTTGCCAGCTACGATGCAGAGTCGAGGTGATGGTGTCGTTGAGTCTGTGGTTTCCCCTATAGTAGCTTTAACCTTTGAGCAACAAAAGGAACTTATGCTGTTGCAAATGGAGAGGGATAAATTATGCATAGAAAAGGAACGGCTAAGGCGGTCACTGGAAAGGGGAAAAAACTGTTCAGATAAAGCGACTGCTAGAGCTGTTGGTCATGCCTCTAAAGTTTCTTGGTCTGGTTGAAGAACTATAATGTCAGTGGGGAAGGGATCCATCTGGGTTAGCGTCTGCGACTTGGTGGGTTGGCCAGCTGGCTTTGGTAACATTAAGTGCTATAGCTCATGCTTTGTATGAGTTTCGTTGTTTCGTTGCGTTGTGCGTCTTGGGACGACTTGATTGGCTAGTGAGCCTTTGTTTGGAGGAAACTTTTATTACGCTAATTTGGTTTAGCACTCCAGTTGTGTGCGTTTGGGGTGTTGTCTAGCAGACAACACAGACTTGTTCATATGAGAAAGTGAATAACACGTCTGCTGGTCTGACTGCGAGACACACCTTTACCTCCTGCCTCCTTGCTGCTGTCAGATTTATTCACAGTATAGTACTAACAGTCTGCTGGTCAGGGGAATGAAGAGGTGATTCGTAGCTCATCAAGTCATTCCAAGTCAAAAGGTGGAAGTCCAAGTCTAGCCATGAGTCATCGGTGTTGAAGTCAAGTTGCCAGTCTGTTGCCACCTCTGGTAGTGACTGACATATATGTTCCTGGTAAGGAGGCGGGGCTAACCTTGCGGACGTAGTTGTGGTCGGGGTGGTACTTTGGGGGCATCAGCAGCAGGATGAGTCTCTCAGTGAGCTGGATCCCGTTCAGAGACATCACTCCCATGTAGAGGAAGATCCCAAACAGCACCGCCAGAGGGATCTGACGCAGAACCTCCCCGATCACGATGGACAGACCTGAGTGGGGGGGCAGAGACCAGATCAGAACACACAGAGAAGGTAGTCAAAGTAGCAGTAACGGCTGTAGTAGTACTCTACAGTGACAGTAGTCGTACCCACTAAAACCGCCACCAGGAAGCCCGTCACCCGCTGTTCCTTGACCTCCTGGATGCGGGGCTTGTCTCCAGGGGCCACCGCTTTGCTCATGACAGTGAGGGCGTTGGTGTGGGTTACGGAGCGAACCGTGGCAGCTGATAACCAGGGCAAACCAAACAGCGCCGAGACGCCACCCACCATCACGATGATGAGGAGGTCCAGGTGAAAACCGGTTCCCTTCACCAGCATCCTCTCCTTCTTACTGACAATCAGCCTGACGGACAGATGCAGGAAAAATGATGAAGTGATTCTTTCTTTTAGGTCAGAAAACAAAAGAACAAATACAAAGAAAGAGTTGTACGCTGTTATCTGGGACTCCATGAAGATGAGGATGAAGACGAGGATGGCTGGCAGGATGCTGGCGGCCATCATCCAAACAGGAAACTGCCCGTCTGACCCCAGAGGAGAAATCAGCCAACCACGCTTCTCCGGGCTGGACACTGAGAATCCGCTGGGCACGTTCAGTTTCTGTCAACCAATAGGAAGATGGAAATTTAAACGTCTGATTCTGACAGTGTGTTGCGTCCAGGGCAGGAGTTTCACCAGACGGCCCCTCTGTTCGGCCTTGATGTCCTCGTACGCCCTTCGGTCACAGGGCCTCTCTGCCACACTGTTACAGTACATGTATGTGATTGTAACAACTAGTGTGGTGCGACCAATAAAAATACATGTCTGAAAGCGTTTCGTTCTGATAGCGAACATCCTGCCCGGCCAGCACTGTGCAAAAAAACATCTCAGAATGTGACTGATTAATGTTATTTACACCACAAAACTCAGCAAAGATGAGAAATAGGCTACTGTCAAATTGTTTATTACAACCAGTATGATTTTTTTTTTAAAGTTTTAGGGTACATGTGAGTACAGTGAGTCTGTCTCACACATATATGAGTAGAGATGTCATGTAAAATAAGTCTTGTGGATTAAACCCAGTTTTTTTCCAGAGCTGATGATGGAAGGAGCTTCCTTCTACTCTTTGTTGAGTTGCACATGAGCATTAATGACCTTTAGAAAAGATGCTCAGCACAGTGACCCTGAAGACAATGTGACAAGAAAGGTAAATGTTTGAAAAACTATCAATAAATATCATTTTTAAATCAAGACATTTACCAAACACCTTGATAGTTAGTTTTTTTCTAATATGAATGACTAAATTGCTAAACTTATGAAACTCCAGGCCTGGTTGTGTCTTAGGACTTAATGAGGTGCACTGAGTGTTGAAACCTGTTCCCGTCTGACCTGGGTGTAGGTGTCCTCCACGCTGTAGTCCACCAGCACCATGATGAGGATTGCGATGGGAACCCCAAAGTCTCCAATGATCCTGCGAAGCTGAAACAAACAGAACTCGGCTCATTGATCAGGGAGTCAGTTCGAAACCATGGATGATCTTATATTTAGACCCAGAATGTCTGCTCATTGTGCCCTGGACAAAACAACCAGGGACGTGGGAGCTGAAGCTGTTGAAAAGAATGAACATTTTGTCATGTAAGTGTTGTTTATAACGGTTAAAATGGTGGATGAGGTGCTAGAAGTTCATGAACTGCAGCTGTACCTTTATCTTGTGCGTCTGGCCAGTACCTGTGTCTGCACCTGTGTCTGCACCCGTACCTGGAGACACTCATAGCTGCATGTACTCGTACATGTACTCGTATGTACTGACCCTGCCGGGAAAGAAGGAGCTGTTCTTGAACTTCCGCAGGTAGAAAGCGATGAAATATGTTCCCGCCATGAGCACGAACGACAGTAGGGCTGTGTTTGGTTCTCCGACAACCTTCCCAGGATCCTCGGCGGCTGCGGTGTAGTTGCACAGAGATGGAGAGACTGTGTTGTTTCCATGGTAACAGTTTTGGAGAGGATGCTCCTGAAAGATCTGGAAAACACCAACAAAGAGAGGAAAAACCTCAACGTGGCTCTGGGTGGCAATGAGAAGCCCGATGCACTGACTCCTTCCTGTCTTGTCACATTTATTGCACTCCCCTAAAAAACAATGACTCCTGGTTTGTAAAATACAGTAGAAACACAAATAGACCTTGCACTAAATACTCACAAGGTTCCTGCTTTAATATAATTTAACTCAATTTTGGTTGGTCCAATGTCAAAATGAAGTCATGACTTAAAGCTGGAGTTCTGGGGTGTTTGTGTTCCATGTTTCCTGTTTTACTTTTCCTTGGTGTTGTGTGTGTGAATGACCTGTGTCTCATTACGTTCAGCCCTCCTGGTGTTTTCAGGTGGTCTGCTCCCCTCACTCACTGAGAGTTCATTGCTTCTACTAATGTCTCTTCCGATGTCTCGTTAACCAGCATTATCCCTCGTGTTTTCCCGTGTTTTGTAGATTTATACTCCTTCGTGTCATTTGGTTTTGGACAGCCAAGTTTTCACCGTTACGTTTGAATGAACGCTTCTAAATCTACCTGCTCCCCTTGTGCGTCTGCATCTGGGCCCCAAACCTTCCCGTGTCAGTGCTATGCCTCATAAGATAACGGAGTGCAGGACTTTGACATCTAAATGAATGCCTGTTAAATTCAAGCAGCCGTCCCCACACTGACAGAAGCTCCACCGCAGGTTTAAGCAAAAATGCTAGATGAAGTTGTTATTTGTAAAAACATCACAGATGCTTAAGATCAAATTACACTTTCTTTTTTATGAATCAATCCATAAATTTGTCTTTCATAAGGCCCGGGCTTTGCTTGTTGCTGACCTGCGACCTTTGACCTCACCTTGACCAGTTTGGCGAAGGTCTCATAGATGAAAATGAGGGATATGAGGAAGGAGAAGATCTCCTGAGTGAAACGGGAGACGAAGCGAACCAGGATGCTTCCCTCGAAGGCCACCGTGAGGAGAACGATGAGCACCAGCCAGAACCCGATCCACACCCGGCCCGTCAGATACTCGATCCCATTGTCTTTACAAAACTACACACACACCAGGTAGAGTTCAGGGGACAGTTAACAAGTTAGCTGACAACATACTTTCCTTTGCAGCAGCATTCTGGACCACTTGAACCTGATCTAGGGATCCAGAACCAGGTGAAGAGGGAGTTAAAGTAGCGTAGACGGAGAAAACAGAAGCCTGAATGATCATCTCCGTCTTAGCTTAGAGTTTGAATTGAAACACTTAATATGCTGCTCAGAACAAGGTGCGCTTACTTTGTGTTTCCAAAGCTTTTTCTGTCTCAATACATATTCCAATAACTCAGCTCAGGGTATCTTCTGATACTGAGTACCAATTGGATACCAGGGGTGTCTTCTCCCAAACTGAATCCCTTTGGGAACCTCGCTACTCACCGATGTCACCATGTGAAACGTGTTGGGTTATTTTTTATGAAAGGCAGCATAAAGTCTGGCACTAAAACCGCAGTCTGACTTTAGAATGACATTCACATCCGACAGCAGAAACCATGATTGAACAGAGACAGGAGTTACCATCTGCACCCTATATACGACCATCTGCTACCACGTGACCTAAACTCCATTCTTAGCTCACGTTCTTACAAGGAAGTCCATAAGATGTGGTTGAAACCTTCGGAAACACAGAGTGAGTGGACCTTGGTTTTCTGAGTGCTGAGCGAACCTTCAAATATGTATTATCTGATCAAGGGGAAGACAAACAAAGGAAGCCCCAGGAGAGAACCCTGGGCCACACCACAGTTACAGAGAGGGTGCTGTGGAGAGAACACAGAAAGCATTTCTCTGGTGTGTTCTGTTGACTGTCCAGGTGTGTAGATTTTCTGTCAGGTGAGCTCACAGTGTAGAAGGCCTCTTCAAACACCAGCAGCGGTCCAGAGAAGCCGATCACCAGCAGAGGCTGAGCACCTAGAACGCTGAACACTATGCCCTGCATCGCGGTGGCAACTATCAACTCCGACACACCAATCAGACCCTCGGTTTTCTCACCTGTATCACAGGACAGAGAACAACGCTTAACAGGTGAATTATCTTTTGAAAACAAAAGTTTACCTAATGATGTTAAAAGATAAGCACCCAGGCGGCCTTTGCTTTAATCAAGTTCAAAGCGGTTTGTTAATCGTTCAACCAAACCTCATCAGGCAGTTCAGTTTCTCCAATAATAAAGGATCATCTATTCTAATCTCTGTCAATGTGTTTCTGAAGTCCAGACCCACCCAGAAGTCCACCAAAGGTGATGGCAGGCGACAACGCAGCAAAGTAGATGAAGATGACGGCGGCCATGCACTGAGGGTTCAGAGCATCTCGGAGGTCGCTGAGGTATTGAGGGTAGCGTCGCGTCACATCTTTGATCAGACCTCCGAAAAGATGGCCCGAACGTCTCAGGGGCTCATCGCCAGGTTTGGAGGGAACGAGGGCATCTGGAAGATAACATGGAGCTCAGAACATCAACATCAACAAAACCTTTTGCTGATGACATGCTGCTTTACCTTAGAGGACTGGGACCTCCACAGAGATCCTGCCAGAAGCCCCTCTTTACGCTGATGATACACAGAGCAACTTTTAGAGCAATGTTGCCATCAATGTTAATGATTAAAGATTACTACCGTAATCCCCTTCCCCTATCACTACTCCACCCGCCCCGCCTCGCCACTATCTGTTCAAAACATAGTCGGACTTGCCACCAACAAGATTGCCCAGCAACATCGCTCAAAAAGTTGCCCCGTGTATCATCAGCTTTATGCTTTATTTGACTTTATTTTACAAGATTCAGTGAAATGCATCAAGACTAAGCTCAACTTTCCCAGACAGCATGTCCCCTCAGAGGCAGTGACTGGGATGTTGGATGACATAATTACCTGAGAGCACTGAAACTGATAGAAATCATTGAAAACAAGGAAACACACAGGGTATTTCTGTTTGCATGACCTCATCTCCTTTCATTTCCTGTCAGCCTGTCACTGTCTCCTTCCTGTTAAAGGCTAAAACACACACTTTAAAAAGCTCTTCCCGTGATAACCGACCTTCATCCTGTGGAACGCTGGTCTGTTTCTCCTGCAGTTTGCCGCTTTGCTCCTCCTCCCTCTTTCGGAGCATCTCTCGTTGGAAACGAGCGACCGAGTGGAGCAGCTCATCGCCGCCGACTTCCGATGGAGGGAGGACGACGCTACAGTCCAAAAAACGGTTGATGGCTGTCAGCAAGTCCTGGCGGTCATCAGCCTGGTACGCCGCCTCGTGGAAGTGCTGACAGAGCAGAATTCATTATTCAGCTTGAACCACTTTACGCAGGTTCAGGGTACTGATTTGTAATTTGGCGCCATCCCGAGGTCATATCACAAAAAGTGGCAGACAGCGTTACCTGTGCAGGGACTCACCTTGTCTGACATGAGCGTGGAGATGGAGCGCCCGATCTGGTGGTAGTCAATGTTGGCAGTGGGCGGGCCCAGCAGGAGGAAGAGGAACCTCACAGGGACAGGAACCTCCAGGACAGACTCCAGCAGGACCGCCTCCTGCAGCCGCACAAACGCCATGCAGGGCTGGTCCAGGAAGCCCACACTGCCTGCAGACACAGCAGAGGGATGCACTAAACCCTCTGAACGCGCTGCTCTACAGGTCGACACCTGAATGAAGGTAATAATGCGTATGTGATGCTTGTGTGATGCGTACCCACGAGGACGACGGTGGCCTCGGCTCTCTCCGGGATCTTCTCCATCAGCTTCGTTTCATGTTTGGATCTGGAGTGGCAGAGGGGCGGGGCTTCTTTCTGAACACACACACACACATCAGGTTAATGAGTAAAATAAAGTCCTAACCAGCTGATAGTCACTCGCTGGCCTGTCTCACCACTGCTACCCCGATCACATCCAGCTATTCTTCTCCTTCACTGTATCTGACATTTACGTGTTGTTTCAGTGCTGGCTGGACACGTGGACATCTGGGGATCGAACCCTGTGATCACCCGCTGTACCCGCTGAGCCAAATCATGAATCCAAAGGAACGTAATGTGATCTGTCACTAACTCATCTGCACCTTTGATACCTTGTTCTTCTCTCCGTCAGCCTCTCTGTGATTGGTCGGATTGATGGAGGGCTCCGATTGGCCGTTGTGTCTGTCCATCAGGGCGGCCATGTTGGCTGCAGAGATGTTCTTGCTGAACATGCTGTGATCTTTCTCATCACTGGGGTGGCTGATGAAACAAACAAACAAAACTAAACGATGAACCATTGGCTGAAAATAACTGAGACACGGACGGAAAGATAAACGACAGATGTGTTTCGGACACGGACCTGTGTCTGAGCAGCAGGGCTTTGAGGACGTTGGCTCGGTCTTCAGCTCTGATCTGATCTGAGATCACCATCTGCTCCACCACCTGCTGAGCGATCCCCGGCAGAGTCCTCTGTCTCAGGTCCAGCAGAACCGCCCCTGAAAACAAAACCAACACGAAGCCCGGGGCTTTTCAGGGAGCTGAAACTGAGCAGGGCGTCAACAGAAGAAAAACAACATGAACATTAGAGCACGTAAACCTGTAGAGGACCATGTGCGGCCTGTTTATTTTGTACATTTTAAGGGATTATTTAAATTCATGCAAAACAAACCTCATTAAAATCTAAATATATTCTAGTTCATAAATCCGGATCTGTTAAACCTGAATGAAAACCTTAAACTTCATCTCACAGTCATGTGGAAATTAATGGGGAAGTCGTGTGTTCAGAAGGGCTTTTCAAATTAAAAGACAAAAGAAGGATGCGTGTTTTAGGAGACGTTTGCTGTGTTTTCAGGGGATTTAAAGAAGCCATGTTCAGGGTGAGAAGAGGAGCTGCAGCAGAAAGAAAACCAGTTCTGAATGTGACCTCTTTAAAACTCGGTGTCTGTCCCCTGGGGGGCAGCAGAGAGCCTCCTCACCGTGGGAGATGGTTTTTCGGAGCTCCAGCAGGGAGCGGAAGGACAGGGAGGGGACGTGAGGTCTCCCCCAGCGCTCCGTCTCCTCCTCCACCTCCTCCTCAAACTTGATCCATCGAGCCGTCTCCCTCCACTGCAGCTCCTGGTTTCTGTCGATCACCAGCTCGTTCAGCTCCACGAACACCTGGACACGCAGGAAAACCCGTCTTTGTCACTTCTGAGGACGCTACATTCATTTCCTCTGCATTTACTCCAACCTTTAGCACCACCCCTACATTTCTACCCCCAGCCCAAACCTTCATTTATCCTTCAACCAGCTCTTTCCCATAAAACGTAACGCTTCACCACGTGGGAACCCGCTTAGTGTCCCGTTAACATCAGTCGCTTCACACAGCGTGAACACAGCAGACCTACCTGTACCACAACGCATCTAACCACGACCCCGACATTCACCTGATCCAAGCCAACTCTTCACCCGACACTGTTATACTTTATGTCCTCACATTTCAGCACGTTCTCATTCCGCTTCGCCACATCTCTCGGCGCCTGGTACCAACGCACGTCGCGTCACAGCTCAGCGCACTGGGGGAAACCGTTTTCTGGTTCTCTAACCAGAAAAGTCAGCTGAGGAGGTGGACGGGTGGGACAAAAATCTGACTTTCCCCCAAGAGTTCGTTTCCTGTGTGAAACAAAAAGTCAATGTTGATTCCTTTTAGTGATGTCACATAAGTAACGTTAATTAATTTACATAATTTAAGTCCCGTGAGTAACGTAGTTATTTTAACCCAAACCAGGATCTTTTCCAAAATCTAACCAAACTGCGACTGTTTCACAACATTAACTGCGTGTTTTATTTTGAAAGTCTAAGCTGACGTTGCATATTTATTCTTGCTAACTGGACCGTGGAGCTCTACACGTGCTAAGTGGCGCCCTGGGATGAGAACAGAATAACGACTGAGAGTATCAATAAAAGTACCAACAAGATTAATAAAAGAACACAAATGAGTTGGTTCCACACGATGAATAACGTTCTCACTCCCGACTCGTCACATATGGACGCTCGGTCACGGCCCTTTGGCGTCGCTTTTTCACATCATTTTTAGACGTTTAAGGCTCTGCGGTCAAGTTAACAACGCTTAGCAATAACAACAAATATGCAAAGTATGCAAAAAGTTCATCAAAGTTGTGAAACGTTGCAGTTTGGTTCGGTTTAGACACAAAAACTACCTGATCCTGGTTTGGATTAAAATAACTACGTACAGTCAGTTAACACCTAAATTAACTTACGTCACTTGAGTAACTTACGCAATTTAGATAACTCACGTAACTAAAATCTTTAATGTTGACTTTTTGTTTCACACGAACCCCGCTCTCCTGGTCCAAAGTCCGGGTTCTGGCCCTCCATCCACCTCCTTACTCTTTTCTGTTAAATATCATATACCTGCCTTCACAAACTGACGCTACAGGGCTTCCCCCCCACTGCGCTCAACTGCGACTCTACCGGGCTCCCCAGTGCGTTACAAACTGACGCCGATGGGTCTTGACCACGCGTCCATATGTGACGAGTCGGGGAGGGAGGACGGGCAAACAGGGAAACGGGAAAACAAACCTACAGATGGGTCCTTTAAAGTCATGTGACAGGTTCCTCTGGAGACCAGAGAGTCTAACGTGGACCAGTTCCTGCAGGTAAAAGTCATTATTCTCACAAGAGCTCCAACAAAACGACTGACCGGAGCTTTCAGCCACATCTTGTGGCCTTGATCAGAGGACGCCAGGAGGACAACTGAGCCAGCATCCGCTGATCAAGGCCGGGGATGTAGGTGGACCTCGTGATCAACGATAAACCTTCACGCGCCGACATAAACTAAAGAAGATCAGGACAAATCACGATGCTGGACTAAGGAGGACCAAACCAGGTGAACCGGTCTGAACTGGACTAACTCAACGAGACCAGGAGAAGCTGTCTCCAGATCTGGTGAAAATAGATTCCAGGTTTAACTCAGGATGAACAGAGAAATCTGGCTGAACCAGGACCAGCCAGACTAAACCAAGAGAACTCAGCTGTACCTTTCTTTGTCGACTCTTCAGGTCCAAACCCACCATCCTGAAGACCTCATCCAACTGAAGCGAGGGACAGACTAACCTCTGAGTTTACCTTCCTCTCACCTGTCTCACTCTCTCTCTCATTACTCTCAGAGTCCAGTTCACAATCCCACCAGGATTAAGCTGTTCAGACTCCCGGCTCGTCTTTCAGCCCCCCGTCAGACTCATTTCAGACAGTCCTATTGTTACAGCAAAGACTCACATCCTGTTCACACCAGACCTGAACCTGCAGCAGAGGAACCGGTTCACCTGAACCCTGTCAAGACTGTCAGATTCATTCAACACCTAAAGGACAGAGATCCCTCTGTTCAGAAGTGCTGCGCTGTCTCCGTTTAAAGAGGCTGCTTTAATGAACTCTGTAAACTCTGAGACGAACACAGAGAGTAACAAGTGAAAGGTGGTGTGTGAACAGCTGGAGTGAGCGTGATGCGTGCGCCGTGGCGTCAGACCTCGTGAGGCGTTCGGTCGGGGCGAAGGTGTTGGAAGTGTGACGCTGTTCGGCTGCCGGTCTGATCTTTGGTGACGTGGACGATCGGCCCTCTGGAGCTCCGCTTCACCAGGTGACGCCGCACGGCCGGAACGTCGTCCAATCGGTGACCTGAGGGGGCGGGGCAGGGTGAGAGCACAGAGGTCAGAGGTTAAAACCTGCTTTAGTTCTTTCCTGCTGTCTTTTGTTTGCTTCCTATGGGAACTTTCTGCAGCCTAACAGGGTTTCAGGCTCGACTGGACTTCGGTGGAGAGTCAGTAAGACGAGACCAATCGTCCAATCAGCTCTCACAAACACAGGTGCGTTCACACGCTGCAGTAATCAGCAGGAGAGTCTCAGCTTTCTGTAAAAATTAGATTTTCTCCTAAATGTGTTCACATTTCTTGTTTT